TGTCCTCTTCTATTCCTGATACTGATAGTTTGTCTTTCTTTTTTTTCTCTCTAATTATAGGTTTATTGATTTCATTAATCTTTTGGTTTCATAGAATTTGGGAGGTGGGCAGTTTTCTATTTAATTAATTTCTGATCTGTTATTTCCTTCCTTCTGTTTGCTGGCTTTGATTTCTCATTCTCTTTCTAGTTTCTTAAGGTGGATGTCTAGATTATTGCTTTTCTTTTCTACTGGAAGTATTTAATACTATACATTTCTCTCTAAACTCGTTTTAGCTGTTGATCACAGATTTTGATGTATTTTGTTTGTGTTTTCATTCAGTACAGAGTATTTTCTGATTTTTCTTGTCACTTCCTCTTTTAGTCACGAGTTATTTATAAATAAGTGTTATTTAGGGATTTTTCCAAATATCTTACTGTTATTGATTTCTGGTTTAATTCTGTTACATCAGAGAATATACTTTGTATGTTTTCAGTTCTTTCAAATTTGTCAAAGTTCTTTTATGGTCTAGAATACAGACTACGTTGGTGAATATTCTTTGTGCATTTTAAAAAGAGAAGTGTTTTGTTTTTTCTAGTAATAGGTAGAATGAATGTTCTGTAAATGTCATTGAGGCTTAAATTGGTTGATAGTATTTAGGTATTCATCCTTGCTAATTTTCTATCCACTTGTTTCATTATTGAAAAAGGAGTATTAAAGTTTCTAAATATAATTATGAATTTTTCTCTTTCTCCTTTAAGCTTTAAGCTAAATACTTCATGTATTTTGAAATCTTAGTGTTAGATTTAGCTTTATTCATTTGGGATCCTCATGTGTTTTTAGAGAACTGACCCTTTTATTTTATTATGTCTCACCTTATCTGAGGTATTTCTTGTTCTGAAATCTACTTTGTTTGATATTAATATGGCCACCAGCTTTATTTTGAAAGTGGTTACATACTATATCTTTTTCTGTCCTATTCCATTTAATCCCTCTATGTTACTACATTTAAAATAGCTTACTTGTACATAGCATAAAGTTGAGTCTTGCTTTTTAATCTGATTTTATCTTTTTAAATTTGTATGTTTAGATCATTTACATTTAATGTAATTATTGATGTAGTTGAATTTAAGTCTACCATTTAGTACTTGTTTTCTGTTTATTATCCTCTGTTTTTATTCCTTTGTTCCTTCTTCCCTGCTTTCTCCTCTTCTTTGGATTGCTCTAACCTTTTTTAGTATTTCATTTAATCTGTTGTCTTTTTTGTTTGTGTCTCTTTGTATAGTTTTAATGGTTTTGGTATTATAATAAACATACTTAACCTTAACCAGTCTACTTTGAGTTTATATTTTGCCACTCTAAATACATTTTAAGTAGACTGTAGAGTTTTAACAATCGTATAGGTCCCTTTACTCTCCCTTCATTATGTTATAGTTTTTATGTGTATCACATCTTCATACATTTAAAATGCCACAAGGCAGTGTCCAAATTGCTGCTTTCAATACTCACATTTATTTTAAACAACTTAAAAGGACAAAAGCAGCTTGTTATATGTAGTCAGGTATGTATCATTTCTATTGCTTTTCTTTTATTCCTGTATTTCCCAGTTCACTCTGGTATTATTTTTCTTTAGCCTGAAGTACTTCCTTTAACATTTCTTCTAGAACAAGTCTCTGGCAACAAATGCTTAGTTTTTCTTGATGTGAGGATAACTTTATTTCACCACCGTTCCTGAGCAATATATTTGTTGGATATAGAATTTTGTGTTGACACTTCATTTTCTTTCAACACTTTGAAGATGCTGTTCCACTGTCCTTATCTGTGATTTCTGATGAGAAATCCCAAATTATTTGAGTTGTTCTTCCATATATGGTGTTTTAGTCTTTGCTTTCAAGAGTTATTTTTATTTTTTTAATTTTTTAAAAAGATTTTATTTATTTATTTGACAGAGAGAAAGAGAGACCACAAGTAGGCAGAGAAGCAGGCTCCCCGCTGAGCAGAAAGCTGGACATGGGGCTCGATCCCAGGTCCCTGGGATCATGACCTGAGCCCAAGGCAGAGGCTTAACCCACTGAGCCACCCAGGCACCCCTCAAGAACTTTTAAATCTAGGTTTGGTTTTAGTGATTTGATTATGAGATGTTGGGCATGGCTTTCTTTGAGTTTACCCTTTTTGTGGTTGGCTGTGCCTCTTCATTCTGTAAAATTCGTAATTTTTCCAAATTTGGAAGTTTGCAGTCATTTCTTCCACATTTTTCTATATCTGTGTCTCATCTTCTGGGGCTCCAGTGACACAAGTGTTATATCTTCTGATGTTTTCCCACTTGTCTAAGATTTTCTCTGTTCTTCAGATGAGATCATTACTATCTTCACATTCACTAACTTTTCCCTCTCTCATATCCCTTTTGCCATTGATCCCATCCAGTAAATTTTTTATTCCAGATAATTTTTTTACTTCTGAACTTTCTAGTTGGTTCTTTTAATAGTTGGTGTTTTACTCCTTTCATTAGTGTTTACCTTCATCTCATGGAGTATAGTTAAAATAGTTGCTATAAAATCTCTGACAGATAATTCTAACATCTGGTTCTTCTCAGTTGGCATCTGCTGACTGTTTTTTTCCCTTGAGAATTGATCACATTTCTCTGTTTCTTTGTAAGCCAGGTTATTTTGGATGCCGGACATTTTGAATACTGTGTTCTGAGGCCTAGATCTTCTTCTTTTTTTTTTTTTTTTTTTTTTAAGATTTTATTTATTTATTTGACAGGCAGAGAGTGAGAACACAAACAAGGGGAGTGGGAGAAGCAGCAGCAGGCTCCTGTTGAGCAGGGAGCCCCATGCGATGCAGGACCCAGTCCCAGGACCCTGGGATCATGACGTGAGCCAAAGGCAGATACTTAACCACCTGAGCCACCCAGGTGTCCCCTAAGAGTCTGGGTCTTAGCATTGTTTTGTTTTTTTAAAGCATACAGTCAATAACCAGAGTAGATTCATACTTAACTTCCGTTTCATCTGATTTGGGTGACATATCCATAGTTTTCAAAGCTTTGATCTGCTGCTTTTGGTCTTTCTGGTGCACTAGACTTAGACCTGTTGGTACATAGTATCTAGGGATCTACCTGGCTCCAACTCCTCAGTGTGAGGAGGGCCACTTTTCCCAGTTATCTCACCAACTAGATGAAATTTTTCTTATTCAGAGTTCGCCAAATGGAGCTAATCTGCCCATGCCAGGAGATAGTAGAGGGGGAAAATGTAACAGGAAATCAGTGTGATGTGGCTTACTTCTTAAAGTTTTATTTCTCCAGTCTGCTTGCTTTTATTTACTTTATAGAGTACTCAGGTTGCTGCTTTCTGTTTTCTTGGGGGAGAGATAAGCTATAGTGGGTTTATTTCATTTTAACTGATCACATTTTGTTTTTAATTGGGATTTAAAAATGCCAATTGAAAATATAGAAATGCAGTATTTAAATATCTGTGGCTTAAATAGGTTGTAGCCATTTTTATTTTCTGTTGGTAAAGGTTATTTGATATTTAAAATATCAGATTCTGCAATTGAAGAAGCTTGCTAATTTTATTAAGTTTTTAATTTTAATTCCAATATAGTTAGCATACAGTGTTATGTTAGTTTCAGGTGTTCAATATAGTGATTCAACAATTCTATACATTACTCTGCTCATCATTTTAAGTGTACTCTTTAATCCCTATCACCTATTTTACCTATCCCCCTACCCACTTCCCTCTGGGAACCATTAGTTTGTTCTTTGTAGTTAAAAGTCTCTCTTTTTTGGTTTGTTTCTTCCTCTCCTTCTTTCCTTTGTTCATTTGTTTTGTTTCTTAAATTCCACATATGAGTGAAATCATATGGTATTTGTCTTTCTCTGACTGACTTATGTTACTTAGCATTTGTACTGTCTAGTTCCATCATTGTTAGAAATAGAGGCTTCATTTTTAATGGCTGAATAATATTCCGTAGTGTGTATGTGTGCACACCACATCTTTATCCATTTATCTATTGATGTTCACTTGGAAAACTTGCCAATTTTAAATGTGGAAGAATGTAAATCATCTCTTTTGGACAAAACAAACTGCTCATTTCTACCTTTGTTATTCACTCAGCTAACATAGTTGATTAAAATAGATACAGATACACGTACCTGTTCAAAGAAAAAGAAATGGATTTGAAATAATAGAATCTGTCTTGTGTTGAAATTAGTAAACTAAAACTTAAAGTTTTAGAACTTGTGAAATAATTATTTAATTAGCTATCACTGATGAATGTAGAAAAGAATAGTAAATTTTATCAGTACTTAATTCAAATTATGAGTTATCCCTTCTAAATTCATTATAGCTTTTCCTTTGAAAAACAAGTGAAATTTTGATGACTATTTAATTTCATTCATATAAAGACATAAATTTAGTGATTTCACTTACAATAAGTTCAGTTTCTGGTTAAATCATTTAGGGAGGTATGTCTAAGTGAATTTTAAAGATCTTTTGATATATAAATATGCATATTAATATATAGGTATGCATACTAATTTAAAAATATCATAAAGTTTAGACAGCTTCTAAAACTAGGAAACTATTTGTGCCTATTATATATCTTTATGATTTTATTGTAAAAAGGGAAAGCATCAAAGAACCATTTAGCGTGGTTTGTTCCAGAATTCATATATAAAAACTATTTGTTTGTAAATTAAAGTGGCAAACTGGACTGTAGGGTTTTATTCTTTATTGGTATTTTTGTCGAAAATGTCACACAAGTAGGAAGGTGATTACAGTTAGCATTTGAAATCATCTTTCATCTTTATGTGTAATAGTGTTTGGATATTTGGTTCAAATTTGGGCTCTGTTGTTCTTCCATTACACTCTGTATGAGATTTATGGCTTGGATTAGGGAGAGAATTGAGTTATAATAACAGACCTGAGTCCATTTAGAAAGCATTTAAAATGTGACATTGGTAATTAGAATTGGAAATTTTTATAATTTTTTGAAATTCACTTCCCTTTCTCCCTATAAATTAGGTGCTCTGTGGATGTGTATAGTTTTAAACCCCCACTGCAAGTTGGAGCAAAAGGCCAGTTGGTTAAAACAGCTGAAAAAGTGGAACAGTGTTGATGTCTGTCCATGGGAAGATGGAAATCATGGCAGTGAATTACCCAACTTAACCAATGCTTTGCCTCAGGGTGCAAATGCCAACCAAGGTGAGTCCACAGTAATATTCTGTTCACTTTGTGTCCACCTGAGTGTGTATATATGCTTCTAATAGTAACTTATAATATATGTGGGAAAATTATTTTGCCTGCTAGACCCTAAAATAATTTAAGGACTTCATGTTTTGAACATGAACGTATGCATTTTTCATTTTTACCTGATTCCTTTGTGTGTGTTTTTTCATATTATCAGAATACAGATAGGTACTATACTTTTATGTATTAGTATGTGTTAAAATTCCTTAGTAATTATTTAGTTTGGGAAATAATTTTAAAAACCATGAAATAGGGTGATAATACATTACCTTGTAAAACAAAATATTGAGAGGCTTGAGAAACTGTGTTTTTATCTCTGTTGGTGCAACCCAATTCATATTGGGGTTGCTGTGTAATTTCATCAGTTAAAAATTGTTAGTTTTAATATATAGCAAATAAACATTTATGACTGAGCTGGAGGGTCATAGGATGCTGTTGGCTTTTGAAGTAGGAAAATTCTTAATTGTAAAGGATTGTTTAGCATACTTTTTCCTACCTGCCATAAGCTAATAGTGCCCTCCAGTCTTTGGGACAATTAAGAGATGTTTTCAGACATTTCCATATGTCCTCTTAAGGGCCTGTGTCTCTCATTTCTATGCTGTTTTTTCAGCTTCTTCTTTTCTGTTGGATCCATCCATTTAGATCAATGATGTTCCTCTCATCTGCAAAAAAAATCCTAAATCCTTCCTTGGCCTCATTTTCCTTTCCAGCTATTGTACTATTTTCTTTTTTTCTTTCAGAACCAAGTCCTCAATTAAGTTTTACAAATAAAAATTTCCTTCATTAATTCATGTCACTATTTTTGTGTGATTTTTGTGCTGCTGCCTTTTTTGGGGTGAGGAGGTTTTGACAGACTTTAAAGTTATGATCGATGTACGGTAGTAGTTAAATGACCCTGGAAGGATCCAGAATCGAGATCGTCATTCTGTATGTGCTGACCCTATATGGAATTGGTTCTACTAGAAAGAGCTAGACATTGTGTTGACTATGAATGTTAAAATAGTGCTTTTAGTCTCTACAAAGAAAATGAGATGTATGACTCCACAGGGACTTGTCCAATCAAAAATAAGTTTTAGGACTTAGAAAAGATCTGGCTTTGCTTTGTCTAGAGATATTTGCCTTGGGAATTTAGTATTTGAAATCTATCATACCTTTATTGCCCATGATTATTTTGTTTCATAACTTCAAAGAATATAAGTATACTCCATTTTTTTCCCCCCACAAGCTTAGAATTTTCAAAATTTAACAATTCAGCATTTATTTTCTTCCATTGCTAGGGAAGGGCATGCCTATATCTACATAGATAATCACTTTAATCTCCTTTTACTTAATTATATTTTGAGGTTTCTCTGTTTCACTCCCCATCTACTTTTTGGCACTGCCAGCCTAACATTTTATAGTTTACTATTTTACTTTACATTTGGTCACTTTGATGGAACAGAAATATTCCATGGACTTCAGAGAGCCTTTAAGAAATGGTCCAACCTGCAGATGAAACAGTTCATTTCATGTATGGTTTGGTCCAGGCACATGAAGTCAGAATCTAGTTTCTATTTAGGGCAATTGTTTCTCGCTGTTGGGCATAATGGCACAGGGTTCCTGTTTTTAGCAGAATATCCACATCCTCCTGGGGGGGGGTGGGCTGTCAGAAGAGACGTCTGTACAGAGGGATGCTGATGTTCAGCCTGTAGCACCTCTGTTGGAGCGCAGGGGAGAGTCTGCGGTAGCCGGCAGAGCCCAGCAGCCGCGCCACTGCAGCCGGGTGGAGCGTGTGCAGGACCCAACCTATGGGCAGAGTTGGATATGCTGCCGTGCAGGAGTGAATGTGAAGGGGGAGTTGGGCCTTGTCTTAGCTAAGATTATTTGTTAAAATTAATTAATAACATTAAAATCCACACTCTTTGAAAGAGTAGGGTTTTTTTAATGTACCAGATGATAGCCAGTTTTTTTATTTTAATTTTTTGATAATAGAGCGAATGGTTTTCCCCTTTTTACTTTTCTGAAAATCCCAGATTTTCTTTAATCAGCATGTAGTAATGTTATATGTACTTTATATTTAAAATTTGTTTATAAATTTCTGTATTTGTTATTTTGAAAATTTCGTTAAGGTAATCCATGTCTTTTTTCCATCTTGTTGCAAAAATTAAAAAAAAAAAAAACTAGACATGTAAGGTAAAAAGTGGCCATAATTTTGATATTGAACAAATTTTATTTTTGTAGTCATTGTCTATGTACACAGTCTATTTTATTTCCCATGTTACTAAGACTTTATATTTTGCAGTTTCATTTCATTATTATTTCATTAGTATTTAGCTTTTTTTTTCTTTTTTGTTTTCTGTGTAGAGGAGCCAGAATATTTAGCCTTTTTTGTTAGAGTGGTTTTTATTGGTCTTTTATAGCTAACCGGTATTAAAAGTGGGGTGTGTTCCTGTACTTTTTCTCTTTGCTCATACAGTCACATGCAAATATGTGAAAAGTTGAGTTTTTTTTTCAAAAATGGAGTCATACTCTACAACTTAATTTTATTATTGATACTACAGTAAGCCAATTGAGAAGTAGAACTCTTAATTTTTTAATACATGCAGAATACTAAGTTGCTTTTTTAAGTCTCCTTCTAGTTTTAAATTCTGTTTCTATGATTAGAGCTAAATTAAAAAAGTGAAATGACAGAGCCACTTAAAATGTATAAAATTTGGACTTAGGGGGGCGCCTGGGTGGCTCAGTGGGTTAAAGCCTCTTCGCTCAGGTCATGATACCAGGGTCCTGGGATCGAGCCCCGCGTCGGGCTCTCTGCTCCGTAGGGAGCCTGCTTCCTCCCCCGCCCCTCTCTCTCTGCCTGCCTCTCCGCCTACTTGTGATCTCTCTCTCTGTCAAATAAACAAAATCTTAAAAAAAAAAAAAAATTTGGACTTAGGAATATTTAACCAAATGACAGAGGTCACAGGGCCAATTATTTGTTGGATTGGACTATCTCTATCTTGCTCAGCAGAAATCCCTGATAGGTTCAGAGGCCCTTAAATATGGGGCCCCTTCTTCCTGTTTGCAAGGTGAGCATCTGTGCACTGGGCAGGGCTGTATCAGATACCGTCAGTATTATGCCTCTCAAAATATGTCATCATACATTTTGATATGTTTCACATTCAAATACAGATATCTAAGTTGACCTGATACCAAGCTGACGTAATGTGTCTCTCTGTTAAAGACCCCTCAGAAGCCTTGCACAACAGCTGAAATTCCTGAGTTCAGAGTGTGGATATTTGGGTTTTGATCTTGACTGCCATTGGCCTGGCCATGTGACCTTGCCAGTCCCGTCACTTCTCTTGGTTTTCGGCTCAGTCAGCACAATAGGGGAGTTGCGCTAGATGAGTTCTCAAGAGTTCTCAATTTGGCTGTGTTTCGGTTTTCAGGATTCCCTCTTTGTCTTTGCGTAGCCAAAGCTGCAGTTTGCTTCTCACCAAGTTAAGTCTCAGTACAGTGAGGGCTGATACTTGAGCTAACTAAAATACACATACACAAGCATAGTTTGTTACCCTGATTTTCAGTTGAGACTCGCTATGGTTTGTGCCGCAGTTGAAGGTAAGTCTGGAGTGGGGACCCACGGGGTGGGATTGCAATTACAGAATTTGAACCATGTTATCCAGAGGGACTGAGTATTCCCAGGAGTTGGGATGAGAATATTCTTTATTCCCCAAACATTTCTTTTCTCCGTCAGGTCCTGAAACTTGAATCCTCTTCGGAGTGTATGCTTCTGCTCTTTTGTGATGCCCCAGCATACACTATGCTGGGGACATCACACCAGTCATGGAACCTGCACAGGAGTCAGGAGGCAGCCTGTAGGGGCAAGGTAAGTGCGCTGGTTTGTTTTGTAGCTATGTTGTGTGGCTTTGTGAAATGTTAAATATATGCATTTATGCCCTTTGGGATATAAAGTGGCATTTAATTATTATATCCCAAGAAGCATAATAGTTTTAATTGTGCAAAACCGCACAATATAGTTAAAAAATACAACCAAAAGCACAACCCTTCTGCATATCTTTAAAGGCTGATTGCATCTTCCTGAAAGGTTCCATGGCTGGTGTCACATCTCTTGCATAGTGTTTGTGAGAGCTGTTGATCCCATCAGGGCAGCCCACCACAGCACCTCAGGAGTGGGGAGCAGTGAGTTTTCATGTGATTTTTGTGCCGAGTGCCTCCTCCGAGTGTATTTGGCATGGAAACTAGACTTGACACTTCTTTTTGCAGGATGCCTTTAACCTTAGCTTTGATGGCTGCAGAGTGTGAGTGTTTGATAAAAACAAGTGAGTGGATGGTGGCTCTTTGGGCTGACTTGCCTCCTAGTACTTAGGACGTGAGAGTACTCCCCCTTCATCCTTCTGCTTAGGGGGTGCAGGACAGTGTGTGTGGGTGTGTTCATGAACATCTGGCCACAGAATGGTGTGACTGATGGATTCACACGTGAATAGTAGCTGACATGGCTTTCTGAATTGTGGAAAAAACAGATTCATCGAACAGGCCACATCGGACAGTGTTCACCCGAGCCATCGAGGCGTGCGATCTCCACTGGCAGGATAGCCACTTGCAGCACATTATCAGCAGTGACCTATACACCAACTACTGTTACCATGACGACACTGAAAACTCCCTCTTTGACTCCCGCGGGTGGCCCCTCTGGCATGGTAAGTGGCCAAACCGGAAAGACATTTCCATGACTTACTTCTTTGTTTCGTTTCTATAGCATTATTGGAGTGGGAGGTGGAGAGTCAAAGGATTCAGTGGGAGATGGATGAATGCTTGGCAGTAGGAGCTGAGTGTTTCATTCAAATCCAAGTTCAGAAATGGTTTCTTGTGTCTTTTGAATAGTATTTTGGGGGGAAACATCTTACTGTTTAAGTGCTGTTTTTGTAGATATACCTGACGATGGCAACTTTCTCCCCTTAACTTTTTGTTTTAGAACATGTTCCTACAGCTTGTGCAAGAGTGGACGCGTTACGTTCTCATGGGTACCCCAGAGAAGCACTGAGATTAGCAATAGCTATTGTTAACACGTTAAGACGACAGCAACAGAAGCAGTTGGAAATGTTCCGAACTCAAAAAAAAGGTGAATGGGAAGGAGTTTGTTTTCATTGGAATGGGATTCTTGGTGATGACGTGACTAGATTTTGTCCTCTCTTGAGTGAGAATGCTTCTGAAATTAGAGCAATGAAGATGACATTTCCTGCCACTCATTGGGAATATTTAATAGCTGGTCTGTGAGAAATTTTAGGCACATTTTTCCTGGTTGAATGTTGTAAGAAATAAGACTTTTAAAAACATTTCTTGGGTTAGTTAATTAAAAAAAAAAAACTGATTAATTTTAAAAATTACATGATTTTTTAAAAATCTTTTTTTTTTCCCCAAGTAATTATTTAGTGTGTCTGAATTACTGAAAATGCTGGTTGGCCAGATGTCTTCTTTAGTGAAAGTGCGTTTTAATTCTAACAGTGAGGAGTCTGGGGGCAGACTGTCTGTGTTTGAATCCTAGCTGTAGGTCTCTGCTGGGAGACCTTAGGCAGTGACTTGAGCTCCTGTGATTTAGATTCCTCATCTGTGGACTAGGGCTTAGTAGAAGACCTGTCTCTTAAGAGTTGTTGAGAAAATTAAACTAGTTAATTCCTATGATGCTCTTAAAAGAGCCTGGCACAGTGTGTAAGCACTCTAAAACTTTTTACCTGTTATCAATTTGCACTTCAGGATATGGTCTTTATTTTAAGTGATCAAAACTCCTGGATTTTTAAATTCTGTAAATAACAGTTTGATGAGCTGCCGACTGACAACACATTTTAAGTTCACTTTATTTTAGATTACTATTAATCTTTTACATTTTAAATAAGTATTGCTGAGCAATACCAATTGCAGAGAGTTACATTAACGTGCATAAGGCCCCGACCAGAAAAAATTGTCTGTATGCTTTTTCTGATTAATCAATGCACTTCTTGTTCCTTCTATAGGTATAAATCTTTTTATGTTTCTTTGATTAGGTTTGGTTTCTCAATCTGGAGTTTTATTTCTTATTTGGAGAGATACTTTAGTTGCTGGGGGATATTTTGAGTCATATTTTGGTTTTTAATCCTATTGTGATTATGCACACACCAAGGATACAGCAAAAATTTATCAAAAGTTGTTGAAATAAGCTGAAGGTTAAAGTGAGCTTTTGTTACAACCTTTAATAAGGTTGTATTTATTAATTTAACTAATATTAAATCTATTTCGGACTTATTATAAATGTGAACTAACATTATCATTTATATGATGAAGGAAAATTTTTTAGAGTTAAAAATTTACACCAAAAAAGGGGAGCTTAAATGGAATTGGAACATAATATCCTTAGTGATCACTATTTTGTCCATTTCTTCATATTTTTTGTAACGTAACTGATTACCAGATGTGTTTACAAAATATATTGCTTGGACCTTTGGAAATTTTTTTGAAACAGCCTCCTCTTCCCAAACACTAAACAGTCTATCGCCAGAAGCTATCTACTTCTGTATAGTATGAAGGATAGTAAGTAATTTTCAGGCTAAGAGAGAGTGAGGTACTTTTTATACTGTAAAATTAAAGCTAGGTTATGATGGTTATTAGATTAAAATATCATATTATAAGCTTGTGTTAGAAGTGTTGTTAAAATGAATTTAATAATGTTGCAATATCTAAGAAATGGAAAGTGTAAAAATGTTTGTGTAGGTAAGTTAGAATATATGTTAAGTTAGACTCTTTTTTTTTTTTAAATATTTTATTTATTTATTTGTCAGAGAGAGTGAGCACAGGCAGACAGAGTGGCAGGCAGAGGCAGAGGGAGAAGCAGGCTCCCTGCTGAGCAGGGAGCCCGATGTGGGACTCCATCCCAGGATGCTGGGATCATGACCTGAGCCGAAGGCAGCCACTCAACCAACTGAGCCACCCAGGCGTCCCTAAGTTAGACTCTTTTAATTATCTTTGAAACCACTCTTAGACCCATTTCTCCTTTTTATCCTGTGAGCAGTGAAAACTTATTTCAGACTATTCTTAAGTTATTACTATGATTGTATCTCTATACCTGTATTTTCTCTCTCTTTTTTGGGGTCCATATTTAAAGAAGAGGTTTTTTTTGGTTTTTTTTTTTTTTTTTTAAGATTTTATTTATTTATTTGCCAGAGAGAGAGAGAGAGAGAGAGCACAGGCAGACAGAATGGCAGGCAGAGGCAGAGGGAGAAGCAGGCTCCCTGATGAGCAAGGAGCCTGATGTGGGACTCGATCCCAGGACTCCGGGATCATGACCCGAGCCGAAGGCAGCTGCTCAACCAACTGAGCCACCCAGGCGTCCCTAAAGAAGAGGTTTTTCATTGGCTGTTATAATTCCAGATTTCCATGATATTTATTTGCTATGTGGTCAAGATAAGTAAATATATACCTTATACATTTTCAGTGCTATTTGGCATTATATGTCAGGTTTTATTGTTGTTGAGATATAATTGACATAAAATCGTATTAGTTCAGTTATACAATATAATGATTCGATATAAAAATGATCACCACAGTAAGTCTAGTTAATATCTGTCACCATAAAGAGTTATACATTTTTTTCTTACGACAAGAACTTTTGAGATTTACTCTTAGCAACTTTCATATATGTAATGCAGTATTATTAACTATGGTTGTCATGCTATACCTTATTACATCGCCGTGATTTGCTCATCGTATAAGTGCAAGTTTTTACCTTTTCCGCTTTCACTCATATCCACCCCTGCCTCTGATAACTACCAGTCTGTTCTCTGTGTCTCGGAGCTTGGCTATTTTTTTTCAGATTCCACATATAGGAGAGATCATATGGTATTTGTCTTTCTCTGTCTTAGTTCACTTAGTTTCTTGATTCTGAAAAAAAATTGTTCTTTTTAAAAATTAATTTCCCTTATTTCCGTGTTGTTTTCACTTATTTTTGTGTGGAAGGAAAATAGAGGAAATACTTTATAAAATTTTCTCTCTCGTTTCCATCACTTGAAAATAGATTTATCTGTGTAAGTACGATGCTTCCTTATATCACATGCCTTTACACATACACACACACGTTTCCTCCTCCCGCCCTCCATTAAACATACATATTTTGTTGTTCTGAGAGTAATACTCATGTTTTGGTTTTTTTTTCATACTAGTTTTGTATATGAAAGCCAGTGACAGAAACCAAAGGGAAAGACCCTTTCAAGGAATATAGGACCCAACCTTTAAATTTTAATACTTTGTGCCAGGCAGTTCTTCATTTTTATGTGCTGATAGTTGATAGTCCAAAACCAGAAGACTTCTAAGGGAATATTGGATTCATGGAATGGTTCTTTAGCAATTTATAAAAAGCCAGTTTTTGTCTTGGATATTTTATATTGTATATAGATTTCATTATATTTTCCTTTAAGAAGGAGCTACTGTGGGGCGCCTGGGTGGCTCAGTGGGTTAAAGCCTCTGCCTTCGGCTCGGGTCATGATCCCGGGGTCCTGGGATCGAGCCCCGCATCGGGCTCTCTGCTCCGCGGAGGGCCTGCTTCCTCCTCTCTCTCTGCCTGCCTCCCTGCCTGCTTGTGATCTCTCTCTCTGTCAAATGAATAAATAAAATCTTAAAAAAAAAAAAAAAAAAAGGAGCTACTGTTATTTATTACTTTAGTAAACATTTGGATGTAAAATACTGCATTCTTTACAAGGAACATATCTTAAAATATTTACAGCTTTTTTTCTCAGAACTCTGTAATTTAACTTAAGAACTTGAAAGTGCTACCATTCTGTGAAGAAAATGAAAAAGGATACATTTCTTCTAAATTATATGTTAACTTTCTGCTATAGTTCTCCTTTGTGGCAAAGGGCCTCTCTTAAATGGCATACAGAGCCGTGATAATGAGGCCTTCGTAGATGCAAGGAGAGTAGTTTAATGATATCTACCCATAGAGGGGTCCAGGTTGGACCCAGGTTACCACTCCCCTCTAGTCTCCAGTTTAGATGACCCACTGAACATGGACTCTGAGGATAATCTTCTTAATATAATTAGCCAGTGATCATTCCAGGGGGACTTCAAAATCTTCTCTAATGCCACTCTTGGGGAAGTAGGGAGAGTTGTTCCTCGCTTCTCAGGTGAAAATTTGAAACTCATTTGTCCTCACGCAACATCATTTAATAGTATAAGTAGTTATGTTCACCCAGTACCTTGGACACATGAATTGATGTTCGGGGACTGTCCTAGAAAGTTGGCACCATTTATACCGATTTACAGATAACCTCTATGAACACAAAGTAGGTAACATGTTCGGGATTATGTATATCTTTGTTCTTTTTATTTTTATTTTTATTTTTTTTAAAGATTTTATTCATTTATCTGACAGACAGCGATCACAAGTAGGCAGAGAGGCAGGCAGAGAGAGAGAGAGGGGGAAGCAGGCTCCCTGCGGAGCAGAGAGCCCGACGTGGGGCTCGATCCCAGGACTCTGGGATCATGACCTGAGCCAAAGGCAGAGGCTTCAACCCGCTGAGCCACCCAGGCGCCCCTCTTTGTTCTTTTTAGTTAAAGAGGAATTGCCAATTGAATTCATCCTAACTAATTTGTTAGGATGCCACTATTAAGTGGTAAAGCCTCTCTTCCTCTACTTGTTTCCATCTCTCAATTCCCTTTTCTTACACAGAGCTACCCCATAAAAGCATCACCTCGATAACCAATCTTGAAGGCTGGGTCGGACACCCCCTGGACCCTGTGGGCACTCTTTTCAGCAGCCTCATGGAAGCCTGCCGAATTGATGATGAAAACTTCTCTGGGTTCTCCGATTTTACAGGTAACACTAGTGGCATTCTCTCCCTCATGTGCTTTTCTCTCTTAGCCTGAGTGTCATTGGTCATTGTTTTGGTCACAGTTTGTTTAATGAATCCATAGGGTTAATAGTACTTACAGTTAGCAAGAGAGCAAGGAAAGCGTGCTTTTGTGGAAGACTTTACAAACGGGGAAAGTCTTGGAATTGACAGTTGGCAGCGTGTGTTAAGAACCTTAAAGATACTGGGGTGCCTGGGTGGCTCAGTGGGTTAAGCCTCTGCCTTCGGCTCAGGTCATGATCTCAGGGTCCTGGGATCGAGCCTCTCATCGGGCTCTCTGCTTGGCAGGGAGTCTGCTTCCTCCTCTCTCTCTGCCTGCCTCTCTGCCTACTTGTGATCTCTGTCAAATAAATAAATAAAATCTTTTTTAAAAGTTTAAAAAAAAAAAAAAGAACCTTAAAGATATTGAGCACCTGGGTAGCCCGGTTGATTAAGCGTCTGCCTTTAGCTCAGATCATGATCCCAAGGTCCTGGCATGGCACCCTGCATCCAGCTCCCTGCTCAGTTGGAGCCTGCTTTTCTCTCTACCCTTCCCCTGCTCATGCTTTCTCTCTAACTCACTCACTCTGTCTCAAATAAATAAATAATCTTAAAGATACTTATTTTCTTCTAGCCAGTGATTCTGCATCTAAGAATTATCTGCATTTTATCACTGTTTTCCAGCATCATGATTTAAAATAAAGATGTGTATCCTAGCATTTAGAACTAGAAATTTGTCTGCATTAGAAGTTACTGGTCACTTAAATAGGTTGTAGTCTACTTTAAGAGAACTATCTAATGTCATTAAAAGTGTTTGACATCACACATTCCTATAAACCAGTGTTTTGAAATTTCTCTCTGCCTCATGAGACTTAAGCATCATCCCTAAAATGACTGCGCATGGGCTGTGGACAGAGAGGTGTAGGAGGCAGGAAGGGTTGTCCCTCAGCTGCTTTCATGCCCAGGTGAACTCAGAGGGTTAATTATATTGCGCCTTCATAATTTCTTCTGTGGTGTTTGCCTTCATGGGTTATTGGTGCCCCAAACTCTGTCAGGACTGTGAAAGGTACGACCCTGATCCCTTTCCCTGGGAGTTTGCTGGTTGAAGTTTGTTAACATTTCTAAGAGAAATACTTCAACAGAGATAAGAGAATGTCCAAAGAATCCTTCCTCTTTTGGTAACTGATGGCTCTTTGGTAACAGAAAGGACCTTGAAACTGGGTTACTTTGTTGTGTTCTCTACTTTTCTCATTAAATTTCAACATTGTGATAACAGTTTGGAAACTTTTTTTAATGCCATGCTTTAAAGAGTTGGTAACTATTGTAGTCATTATGTAATTTTGCTCTTGTTTAAAGTCTTTTTTTACTCTTAAGTATTCTTACTATTTCTTCTTAGATTTGTAGGGGTTTTTTGGCGATTCATTTTCACTGGGAGAAAAATTTTGTAATAGTCTATTCCCCCAAAACATACATATCTTGTCATTCATGGTCATGTTTTAAAGGATCCTAGAAAAACTGTTACCTAGTTCTCAAATAATTCATGTTTCAGTACTGGGTAAAATAAATATTCTTACCTATCAGTACCTGCAAAAGTATTGTATCTGATCTCTGATTTCATTTGTGACATTTTACAGAGAATATGGGACAGTGCAAGTCTCTGGAATACCAACATCTCTCTGCACACAAATTCTTAGAGGAAGGGGAATCCTATTTAACATTAGCTGTGGAAGTAGCCCTGGTCGGGCTGGGACAGCAGCGTATCATGCCTGATGGGTTGTACACACAAGAGAAGGTTTGCCGGAATGAGGAGCAGCTCATTTCCAAGCTTCAGGAAATTGAATTGGATGACACACTGGTGAAAATTTTTCGCAAGCAAGCAGTCTTCCTATTAGAAGGTAGTGTGATAAAGAAGTTTTCCACTTGTTCTGCCAATTTTATTAAGGCGTGAAGCTTTCTTATGTTGGAACTATTGCCTGAATGGATTCAGTATGGTAGTTATTCTGATGGTATGCTCTCTGAGTGTCACAGGAATGTTTACTATCCAAAAAATAATACCACTTAGTCCAAAGGTATAGATGTTCAGATGTGTGTCATTTGATTTCAGTGGTCGTGTAAGACAGCCTATTAGAAATGAGCCCCATTTAATGCCACAAACTTTGAAAAGGACTGTTGTCATTTAGTCTGCGCTGTTACTCAGATAAATGCAAGTTTGATATTTAGTGAGTTGTTGCTGGTAGCCATGTACCTATTTGCTTGATCAATTGAATGAAATGGAAACTTCTTGGCATTCCTCTGAAGTATTATTAGGGCTGTTACATGACATCTGGGTTTTGAATATGTCATTTGCACATGCTAGCAAAGTACTGGAAGCTGCAGGAATGAATTTCCACTGTACTAATTAATTTCAGAGAATTCATTAGGCATAGATTCACCAAGTTCAAAGTTTCATGGACTCTCCAAGGCAAGGTCTAATTTTCTTCCTTTTATAAGGTCAAGAGCTAAATGGCTTAAGAAATTTTGGTTAGCATTATTTTTTTAAAAAGTGTTTTGTTTTGTCTCTGTTTTTGTTTTTGTGTTTTTTTTTTTTTCCAGAAAAGAGTAAGTGTAATGAGTATAATAGCCTAAGCTTTAACACAAATTTAGGTGATGCCTAATTGGTAAAATTGCTTCTGTCTCTTCAGTATGTCGGTGTTAGTATTGTGGGATTCTCTGTGATTGATAGGTTAATAAAGTGTGGTGTCTTAATCTTAAATTCCGAACTGTTGCAATATGGGGAAGCTAGAGAAAGTAACATTTCACAACCTCTTTTATTTGTCCAGAGCTAAAGATCTCTTTGAAAGAAAACATTTTCATCAAATGTATTACACATTTGTATGTTTTAGAAGTGCATTTTAAAGGGAAGATGTTCTTAAAACAAAATTTAAAAATTAAAGGAAAAATGTTCTTAATGTCATGTTTAATTTTGGTAAAATTTCTGATATTCATTTTTTGAAGCCCTCACCTTAACTTTTTTTTTCTTCTAAAGATAAAGAAAGCCTTTCTTGGCAAATTTCAAGTGATCTTCATTCTTTCGTTACTGTTTTAGTTTCCTCCTATATAATTCCTTTTGATAAAAGCACGATCATTATCCACAAATTCTTAATGCTCTCACTGGCTCTTAGTAAACAACTTTTGATTTCTGTTATACTGAAGGACAGGAAGAGTATGTGTGCTTTTTAGAGTTGATGGTGTCTGATACCTGTTTATCATTTGCCTTTTCGAATGTCTCCATGTTCATTATTCGTGAATATTTTAAAACTTTTTCTTAGTTTTTGATTAGTGCATCTCTCCCTGTTAGACATTTTTTCTAAAGAACTGTGGCTTATATGGAGTGCTCTTTGACTCATCATAACCTCTTTTCCTTTCCTTTCCTGAATCCTGCTAGGGTTGTAGAAAGTGGGTGGTGCAGGGCAGGAAGCAGTCCCAAGGGGAAGCTGAGGGACCATTTCTATAAACTCCCGAAAATAAGAACTCACTGACTGAGTTGACTGCACTGGGGCACCAAGTTCTTCGTGCTTTTACACTCTGGAAATTTCAGGGGCAAAACAGGGAGCAGACACTATTCTGAAATACAAGATGCTAATGTTTTCTGAAAAAGAAAACACAGTGACCCTGTATTGTTGCTGTGTGTTAATCACTCTTGACCACAGTAAGATACTGGCATATTGGATCAATTAGTATATTGGTAAAGCATTTCTGGGAGTTCAGGGATTACAGTCATTATTAATCTATAAGTAATTCTGTGATACCTGACTGAATATGTTTCTGGTTGGAAGGTATCATAACAATAAGTGTTGATTATGCATCCTGGCTTTGTTTGTTTTGCATAGCATGAAAAGGTAACTTGATGATTTAAGGGAAACACTGAAAGGAAATGGGGAGAAATGAAGTGGATAATCTGCAAGTTTGCTCTGAGGCCTTCAGTAAAATAAGAGGCCTTGCAATGAGGCCTTAGTAAAATAAGAGTTAGTGTTTTAGTCTGCCCAAGCTGGCATCACAAAATACTGCAGCAGTGGGTGGCTTAAACAATGGAAATTTCTCATAGTTCTGGAGGCTGGGAAGTCCAGGGTCAAAGTGCATATCAGTTAAATTTCTGGTGAGCCCTCTCTTCCTATAAATGTCTGTCTTCTTCTTGTGCCCTCCCAAGGCAAAGGGGGAGAAGAGAGTAAGAGAACTCTCTGATGTCTGTTCTTGTAAGGCCACTAATCCTGTTGGATCAGGGCCACACCCTGTGAACTCAAGTAACCTGTTCATTACCTCTGTGTTAAGGCCCTATCTCCAAGTACAGTCACTTTAGGAGTTGGGTCTTCAGCATATGAATTGGGGTGGGGAATATAAACATTCAGTCCATAATAATAATAATTTAAAAATTTGGCTGAAGGCAGAGCTATAATGCTGTATCAACTTTTGAAGACTTTTGGGTCACTAAAACGTTTTTGAATGTCTTAAACGACAAGAAGAAGGGTAATAGATTTAGTAAAATTGGAAATCTAGGATGGATTTTAGTTTGCCTAGGTAAAAAATAAGATTTTATGAAAATATAATTTTCAAAATACTTAATGAGCAGTTAAGAATACTAAACAATAAAATAATGAAATGTTAATATAATCTCTGTTAAAATGATCTATAATGTGTCATGCTCCTACCCAGTGCCCCATCCAGTAACTCCTCTCACCATTTCTTCTGAACTGCCGTTTCTTGCATTCTAAACTCTTTGCCAGACTGATTTGTCTCATGGAAAACAAATGTATTATGTCCTTTGAGCAGTAGTGTCATGGTTCATAATTCTAGAAATCATGAAACAGATGTTACCCAAAGGTGACATGGAAACTAATTTATTAAAGACTTTACAATAACTAAACCTCAAAGTACTTAAGTGGAAAGTAGTTGAACTAACCACTGTGGTTTCCTTTCAAAATGTATTTTAAAATTCAGTATCACCTTTCTTAGGGACAGCATTCAGAGAGCACACAGGGGAAGTTAGTTCTGCCACATGCTTGTCATAACTTACTAAGAAATGAATTTTGACAGCTTAAATGTAATTTTGCTTTTGAAATTGGTCTTTTGGAGCCCCCAAAGTGGTAGATTTCCAGTTACTTTAACTTTTTTTTTTTCTTATGCCTATGGTGAGTATCAAATGTGTTACTGACTATTCTTTTATTATTAATCACTTCCTGAGAATTAATATCTATTTCTGCTTATTAGAAGCAACAGTGTTTAAAGTCTTTGTATTGGGATTTGTGATTCACATTCCTCCCCTGAGGCAGAGTACTCTTTTCTGGAAATCCAGCTTGTCTGTGCCCATAAGACTGATTGGGTCCAGGGGCAGTTTCCAGAGTTAATCTGCAGAGTCATCTGTGCATTTGAAAGTCCAGATGCTCAGATGTTCCACATTGAGAAAGGGTGTTTCTTGAATTCCGTGAGATTTTGTATGCTTCGGAGGGTTTCTTTCTCTGAAGCAGTTATAATGTGAAAAAGCTCTGCCCCCTAGTTCTGTGAGTCTCATTTTAGCTATGGTATAGTTGGGGGACTGTTCCTGAAGTGAATTTGATATTGGATACTATACCCTGTAGAATCATTTTTGACTAAGAATTGTATTTCTTTCTACTATGTCACTTTGATTACATTCTTAACTAGATTAGTTTGTATATGTTATAACTTTACATAAAAATTTTATGAAAATATACTTTACAAGAAGTCTTATTAGTTCCTTTTTTAGGAATGTAAAATGTGTATGCTCTCTTCCCACAGCCGGACCATATAGTGGTTTAGGCGAAATAATCCATCGGGAGAGCGTTCCAATGCATACATTTGCCAAGTATCTCTTCACCTCTCTCCTACCTCATGATGCTGAATTGGCATACAAAATTGCACTGAGAGCGATGCGGTACGTATTCACAGCCCGGCTGGGCAGAGGCGATCCAGATTCCCCACGGGGAAAAATGGCTGTTCACTGACTTCTCGTTCATTCATATTTCTTGTAGGCAGCAGAGAAGCTAAAGAAGCCATGCTTCTTGGATTGTTGTGATGGTGGTTTGTTGGTTTGTTTGGCTTTTGTTTTACAGTAAAGGAAGAATCGTAATCTAGACTGCTTCGTACTTGTGCTCTCAGTGGCTTTTTCCTTATTTCTCTGGAAGCTAGCATTTGGGAGTTAGAGAACAATTTTAGGCCAAGTTTAACCATAAGGGAGCACTGGTTGAAAGCTTCCTGGATAGTTGATTGTTTTGAAAAAGTTAGATTTTTGGAAAAGTGGTAAATAATAAGTATACTTGCCTGAATGTAATAACTGAGGGAGCCCCTCCCACCTGCGTTAATTCCACATGCCATCATTAACGTGGGAAGGCCATAGTACCACTGAAATGCCTCTGTGCTCAACTGGAGGATGAGGAAAGATGGGGCTGTGGCTCAGGTTAAAGGCTTCCCTGTTAGGCGTCTTCCAGGACCTGCTCTCCTCACTCTGACTGCTTTCAGCCCTTCCTTTACAGTAGTAATAATTAGATTATGTTATTCTCTGCCACTGACCTTTCTGTTTCACTTTCCTTTTTAAAGTCTGTCACCAAATATTTTGATCATAAATTTGTCTGGGTGAATACTTTTTAATGAATTTAGAATTGTATTTTTCAGTCTTATATGTTGCCTATTAAACCTTAAGGCTCTGAAAGGCATATCCACCTTTCTTAAAACTTGAGATTTTGTTTTATTTTTTTAAATTAAAACACTCCTTTGTGAAAGTGCACACTAGACCCAGTTATAGTCACCAAAGACAAACTATGTACACACTCAAGAGCTTGAGGTGTTGGAGAATAGTTTGATCCCATCCTATAGAATCTTTTCACGAAAGATTCTCTGTCTGTAACCAATGTAGGGGATTCAAAAGAAATTCTTGTCTGTATGAAGATAGCTTTTATTTTTCAGGGGGCCTCTTTTTTATGCAGCGCCTGGGTGTGTGTGTGTGTGTGTGTCAGTGTGTATTGAAGTTTACATCCTTTAACTTGGCATTCTTCCCTTGGCACCATGAAATAAATCTCATTAACCTATCAGAGAAACCTTGTGAAATTCTCATCTGTTTTTAATTAATAACTAACATAAGTAAAAATCACCCCCCAAACACACCCACTAAATTACCTTATGCCCCTTGGTTTTTATTTTAGAGCACAGCTTTGTAAATAATCCCCTATTCCCATTTTTGGAAGCTGAAATAGAAGTTGTCAGACGAAGACAGATGCTCAGCTCTATACTTCTTAAATCTTGAGAATTTTGCTCCTGCTGCAAAGAGAAGAATGCTAATGTTATGTTGCCACCAGATGCTATTGCTATGACCGCTGTGAAGTTGAAGGGTAAAATGTGATAGGGTTTCTCTGTGATTCTGGCTTATGGGAAGGGATCTGTCAGGTGAAAAGGCTTGCTTTCCTAACACTCAGAAACTCATTTATGTTTGTCCTTGGTTGCTGCCAAGGCAGTTTGTTTATGGAGGATACTAGTGGGGCCCTGGGGGATTATTTTCTACCTCTTTTCTTCTACTTGCCACTACTTCTGTTAAAGCGCTGCTGTGGAAGGGAGGTAGTAGGACCTACTAGAGCATCTTAAGGCACCAGGGAAACAGGCAAGAAAAGAGACATGTAGCCTACTTGCTTCTTAGTCTTTCTGGAAGTGGTAGAAGGGTGGGGGAGCTGGAAAAAGATGTTTTTAGCACTCATTTTCTCATCTTTTCAGGGCTGTTGACTAGTTTACAGCAACTCTGGAAAGATTTGCTGGTGAACATAGGAACATTCTGGGTTTTTTGAAAAGTTAAAGTAACTCCACCAAAATTCTTATTAATTTCCTACCTTGCTACCCCTTAATGCTAACATCTCTTTGTCCGTAGATGAAAGGAAAAGTAAGTGAGGCATTTGGCCTGCCAGAACAGTAACTGCTCTTGGGCAGGACCCCAAGGCCAGCGTCACACCCTGACCCTGTTAATTCCTGTTGGTCCTTAGCTCTTATTCCCTAACACTGGTATACTTGAGTCAATGTTAGTGTTCTGGTGATTGTGAAGGAATCACTGCAGTTGTAGCTACTCTGCTAATCTCTTCAGTACTTCTGTTTGGAAGAGATCACTAAGCATGTGCTGTTCAGTAATTGTTCTTTATTTGCCGACATATTCTTAATCAAAGATAGTTTGATTGAAATCAGAGATCACACTGAATTTGTGCAAGGCTGTCAAAGGACAAATACTTGGATCATTGGCATTCATCATCTCTTGATAGGATTGATGCAACGTATTCGAACTATAAATTCCTGAAATTAAAAGGAACTAACTCTGCAGGAAGTATGAATCTATGGAAAGGAGGTTATTTTTGTTTAACTTCTCCCTTATTTTGTGTTTTAATGACCTAGCTTATCCATTTCAGCTATCCACTGTTCCCTGACTGTTGTAATCTCAGTTTTAAATGTTCACTTGCCTATGAGTTTCTGTTGACTTTTACTTTTTCAAGAGTGTGATAAGATTCAAAAATTTTACAGTAGATGCACATCAAGTTTTGTGTTTCAGATTTTCTCAATGTTCATATCTTAATTTTCTTGAATATTACATTTCTTGAATGATGCTAAAGAAAAGAAATCTCTTAGGTTTGAGTACTGAGCAATTAACAAGATGTCTTTGGCATCCAGATAGCAGAGTGTAGCTGTACCAGCTCTTCCTGCACCCAGGACCTGAACAGTTTCTCCCACCATCTACCCACTCATCTGCCTTCTGATCAGGTCTTGTGGCCAAGGGGTTGGACAAGGAATAACTAGGAACCAACTGTCTTGTCTTCTCATTACAGGTTACTAGTATTGGAATCTACTGCTCCGACGGGAGATCTCACCCGCCCACACCATATTGCATCAGTCGTTCCCAACCGGTATCCTCGCTGGTTCACGCTAAGCCACATAGAATCCCAGCAGTGTGAGCTGGCATCCACCATGCTGACTGCAGCCAAAGGTACTGCATTGTCCTGAGACCTCATGATGATTGTGTTTGCCTTTTTTCTTTTTTTGAAGGATCATGTTTTCTATTAAATTGTCAGTAGTGGTGCCAATGTCCAGTTGTAGAGGATCCTCTTCCTTAGATGTTAACTTAGGAGGAGGAACAGGTGCCACTTACTCGAGCCTGACACTTTCCTCTTTTAATTGCATCATTAAACTTGGTGCTGGTGGAGTTTAGGGTTAGTTACTATGCCATGGAAATGGTGGTTCAGGTTCAGAAGCAGATTAAAATGTTAGGTTACATTTTTTTTTTTTTCCTCCCAGAAATATTCACCAAAAATTTGTAATAGGAACTAGGAGGGCTTCTTGCTGTCTCATGTTAGTTCTGGTTAATACGTGCTTTTAGTCGTGAAGGGTGTAGGTGTGTCTTGGTGTATCTTTTTTGTGAAACCGCAATTCTTAGGCATTTCAGTAACTCTGGGACCCTTAGTTGTTGTAACATTTGTGCCACATGTGAACATTTCAGGTAAATTAACTTGTGCTTTATGTTTTGTTTTGTTTTGTTTCCTTTTTTTCCTCCTGTGTGTGTGTGTGTGTGTGTGTGTGTGTGTGTGTTATGGTTGTTTGATGTTTGGTTTGGTTTGGTTTTCCCTTGTTGCAGGCGATGTTCGGAGGCTGGAAACAGTATTAGAATCCATTCAGAAAAACATACACTCCTCATCCCACATCTTCAAGCTTGCCCAAGATGCATTTAAAATAGCAACTCTCATGGACAGCTTGCCAGACATCACTCTTTTGAAAGTGTCTCTGGAACTGGGCCTGCAGGTACACGGCTGGTGGTCATTGCGGGGGCCCCAGGGATGGCTAAATAAAGGCGCCAGCTCTGCTTGTTTCCAGCTGGGTAGTTGAGTACAACCCTGTGACGACTCCGTGCACAGAGCTGTTAGATTCTGGGGGCGCTCCCAGTCGAACCAGACTGCTGCTCAGGTGCAGCGGCTGTACATCTAGAAGCCCTGTTTTTGTCCTTCAAAAAAAAGGGGTCATTTTCTGAATTCTAGCCTTAGTTTCTCCTTTAGCGAATGGAGGAGATTATCGCTAGTAAGAGACTTAAGTGAAACTATCGTGTACTCTAAAGAATTGGTTGTTGGGGTTAAAGTTGTAGAGGAAGTATGATTTTTTTGTTGTTTGCATTTTCATAATAGATGGGCACTTCTAGCTCCTTTTTATAACCCTAAGAATAGTAGATAAAGGAGTGATTGAGCCAGGGTCCAGTTTCACCTTTCCCAGGACCTGCTTAGACGTTTTACCAAGGACATTTTGAGTTAGTCATACAGATAAATGTTTGCTTCCTTATAGTTTCTTTTAAAAAATTACTGTATAAACCCAGGAACTGAAAAGTTTATATGTTGACTTTTCTAAGGAATTCTCTTTTAACATTTGCTTTTTAAAAAAATCATCATTAAAAGTGGTGAAAGAAATTGTTATCTAATTACCTTAAGTATGGGGAATAGAATGCCCTGATAAGATGTTTTTTAGTTATGGATTCTCCTTATGATGATTAATAGAGTTTGAGAATTAGATTATAGAGGGAAAGCACACTTCCCCTAGACGGTACTGTACAAGCAGAGAGTATAGGGGATTGCATTTAAGCTATACAATGACACTTCAGAAGTTTCTTTTTAAAAATAAATTGGTGCCAGTTGGCTTATATTTGTTATTATTGCCTCTTAGAGGTTTGATACAGAAAGAACCATTAACGAACTTTCTGGTTATTTGGAATTCTGGCAGGCTTTTTTTTTAATAAATGGCAGATTACTGAGAACTTAGTCCCTGCCTTATTCTCTCTAGAACCCAAGAAGGAATCCCACAACACCTTTCTGAGGCTTTAGGCATGTTATGTCCCAGATGTTCTGAGTGGGGGAAGCAGGAAGAGACGGATAATTTTATTTGGGGATCTTATTAGAAAGTGAAAAAATCAATTGATGCCAAAAATGATTGCTTTCCAAACCCCTGAGTTATCTTCATGATCACCAGGAAAAAGAGCAACCAGAGATCGAAGGTTATTGGTTAATGGTTATTCTAAAATACCTCTTTGCCAACTGAGGGGTTCCTAGTCAGAATTAAGTTCTTGAGAAGCCTCAAAAATCTAGAACCATGGAATTTGTCAAAGCTGAGAAGGAGAGGGCCTGGACTGTGCTTAATACTGCAATCTGGCCCTCTCATTTTGCAGATGACAAAAGTGATTAATTGAGCAACTTGCCCAGGATGATGCAACTGGTCACTCAGCCCCCCTGGAGTAGAATGCAGGCCTTCTGTCTCCTTGGCTGGGGAGCCATGAACGAATTCAAATTGATATACAGAACTTTGCTCTAAATATGGCTCTTCATCCTTCTGGTAGTAGGGAATATTCCTCGTAGTTTATGCCTTGGGATGAATTGTTTCCTTTTGCATTGACGTCAGTTAATCTTCTGAAACATTGTGGTGTTATCTTGTCTTTACAGGTTATGCGAATGACACTGTCAACCTTAAATTGGCGACGACGGGAGATGGTGAGGTGGCTGGTAACGTGTGCTACTGAAGTGGGTAGGTAAACTCTGGAGGAGGAGCTTTCCCAGGTGCCTCATGGTTGGATTTAACTCGTCATTAAGCAAATATAAGAATGTGTTTCTTTTTTTACCTTGAATTCTCCAAGGCTTCTTGCTCCTTCTAGCCCTTGCCTCCAACCTTTAGTTATGCATACCTGCATTGTTCTTCTTCCAAACTATCAACATTTGTGGGGGTATCAGACTTGTTTAATATTGACTGAGTCACTGAGTAAATACTTTTTTTTTGCTGTTCTGTCACTCTTAAGGTGCTTTTGGTAACTTTTTGTGAAAATCAGGTTTATAATTTTATATTAAAGAGTTCTAGAGTGAATCCTTAGTAGGTTGGAAACCAGCTTTGAAACTAACTTGATACTGTGGGTTAGTGGGTCAGGCCATTTTAGTGAAAATAATATGAAGCTCTCTAGTTGTGCTGAGATTTTTCTTTATTGTCCGGGGGCATATGTCATCGTATCCAGCAGATAAATGATTACCGGGTGTGGTTTAGGTGAGCCTTCAGGTATGTGAAAGCTATTCATAGGAAGTTCCTCCCGGTTGCCCGTAATCTGCATTTGGTGAGACTGTCAACCAGCTGTTTCCTCTCTCTAGCAGTAAATTGGTACCAAAGAAAACTACATTTCCAGTAGGAATGCCAACAAAAAAAAAAATGGTGGTTGCCTTAAATAAATTTTGGTTAAATTGTCTGTCTCCCTTCATGTTTGCATCAAAAAAGGGTACACACTTTTACTGAGAGGACACTACCTCTTCAGTTTTTAAATACTGTAAAATCATTCTTGCTTTTTTTCTTTTATTACTCTTAATGGTTTGTTACTTTGGGAAAAGGGAAATTGGTCTTAATATAAAAATTATATTGTTAAGTTGTTGAAGTGATGCTTCAGTGAAGCAGTACAAAGATAATACCAGTCGAAGAACTGCTCTACAGCTTCCCTAATCCTGTACCAAGGTATACACCTAACTTCTCTGTGAGATTTTCTTACCTACTCTTTAAATCACTCACAATTAGGTTTTTCCTACGGCTCAGGCATATTGGATCTCTGCACTTAGAATGGTTATTTTATAAAGATCTTGTCAGTTATTTCTAACATCTGAGTCACCTGTAGATCTGCTTCTGTTGACTCTTTTCTCTTGATGATGGGTCACATTTTTCTGTTTCTTTGTGTGTCTTAATCATTTTGTATTGTGTATACTTTAAAGTTACAAACACACATACCACATAAAAAGTCTGTATTTTGGTGAGAGTTCTAGTTACTTCTGACTCAGATTCTGTAGCGGGTAACTGACAGGAGGGCCCAGTGAACTAGAACTCATTAGCAGAAAGCCATTTTCTGAAATGGCAAAGCGGCGCAGTCCAAATACCAACTACCGAGGAAGTTTATTACAGGAAGTTCATGTTCCTTTCAGGCATTTCACTGAATAACAGTCTATAATAACCTTATTCTAAAAGGTTGCTCCCAGGCACATTACCTTACAGGATTCTCTGGCCTAGCTCATGTCCTGTGCTGGTTAACCGTATAAGCATTGATTATTAGGTGGAAATAAGGCAAGACCTCTGGGCAGCCTCCTCGTCAGTAATAGGGCTTCTCTGTGTTCCTTGAAGGTGTTTATGCCCTGGATAGCATCATGCAGAGCTGGTTTACCCTCTTTACTCCCACTGAGGCCACAAGTATAGTTGCGACCACCGTGATGTCCAACAGCACCATCGTCCGCCTCCACCTGGACTGCCACCAGCAGGAGAAGCTGGCCAGCAGTGCCCGGACACTTGCATTGCAGTGTGCCATGAAGGACCCTCAGAACTGTGCCCTCTCCGCGCTCACCTTGTGTGAAAAGGATCACATAGCTTTTGAGACGGCGTACCAAATTGTTCTTGACGCTGCTACGACTGGCATGAGCTACACCCAGCTCTTTACGATAGCACGGTACATGGAGCACCGCGGGTACCCTATGAGGGCCTACAAGCTGGCCACCCTGGCCATGACCCATCTCAACCTGAGCTACAATCAGGACACACACCCTGCCATTAATGACGTTTTGTGGGCCTGTGCGCTCAGCCACTCCCTTGGTAAAAATGAGCTCGCAGCTATAATACCTCTGGTGGTCAAGAGTGTCAAGTGTGCAACGGTACTGTCAGACATTTTGCGCAGATGCACTCTGACTACTCCTGGCATGGTGGGACTTCACGGAAGGAGGAACTCTGGTAAGCTCATGTCACTGGACAAGGCCCCCTTGAGGCAACTCTTGGATGCCACAATTGGGGCCTACATCAACACAACGCACTCACGACTCACACACATCAGTCCTCGGCACTATAGTGAGTTTATCGAGTTCCTCAGCAAGGCCCGAGAGACCTTCCTAATGGCGCATGATGGACACATTCAGTTTACACAGTTTATTGACAACCTGAAGCAAATCTACAAAGGCAAAAAGAAACTGATGATGTTGGTTCGTGAGCGGTTTGGTTGATAGAACTTGTATGAATGGGGGTGGGGGGTGGGAATGGGAGGGATGGTTTGTTTTTACTTGAGCCTGCCTTTGTACCCTTTTTAACTTAAAGAACAGAGCCACACCGGTATTATATGTGTATAGTTCTATTGCGTTTGCAGACTAAATTGTCATGTTGTGAAAGTTTGTGTGTTTTTAAATTTTTTTCCTTTTTCTTACCTTTTTTCCTTTCCTTTTTTTAATTTTATTAT